CATAGATTATTTAGTTTATCAACCTGAACCTTTTTTATTATTATAAAGTCTATATTATCTTCATCATTGACTTCTTCTTTGAAATCATTATTGTTTTTTTCAGTGACCTATCTTTTAGGAGCAACAGAGGCATGAAAAACACCTTTTTCATTACAGAAATAACTGAGCACCAAAACTAATTATCTTTCTATTTCAAGTTAATTTGGCAATAGCTATTCAGAGCATTTCTAGCAGAATATCAAAGCTAGCTATTTGTATTATATAAAATTCTGAACAACAATTACTTCATCAATATTTACTTTAATATTAGATATGTAAACAACAAAGTTACTAATTTTATTATTAGCTATTCTATCTCTTTCTTTAGCTGATATCTATACAAAGTCTCTTTTATTAGTATAATTAATATATATAAGGTTTAAATATAACTCAGATCAATAGACATATTAATTAATTTATCATTTATCCTGATTGTTTCTATTGGGATATTGTCTACTTGTTTGTTAGACTTGATTTACTATACTAATATTAATATTCAACAAAACCATATTGGCTTTTTTTTCTTTCACATTAGGGCTCTTAATATTTTTACACAGGCTTTTGGTGACTATTTAAAAAGCTGACCCAAGGTTACTATCATTTCAAATTCAGTGATCTTCTTTAAGATATCAAGTTCCTGAGTTAATTTAGTCAGAAATATATACATTGTTGCTCCTTTTATTTGGGGTTCTTTGCTAGCTAGATTCTTATTACTTCTGCTTTTTTTATTAGATAAATCAGAAGTAAGTTCAACCTCAAGATACTTATGCTTCTTTAGATTATAATTCTTTATATCAAATATTGGCTTACCCTTTACTACTTCAATTTTAAGATACTTATTACTACCATCAGGTGAGACTTTAGTTATCTCAAAATATCAGATACTTGCTCTTTGTATATCACCACTTTCTGAATTAAAATTTCTTGTTTCAATACTTTGATTGATAAATAGATTGAGCAAGGCTCTTGCTAGACAATTTCTTGAAATATGGCCTTCTTGGTTACAATTGTAACATCTATACAGATTAGTTTGATTAGACTAACTATTTGGTATAGTTAGGTGGAAGATTGCTATTGATGCCAATCTCTTGTATGTCTTTTGGTTGATTTCAGCTAGGTTAGTTTTGTTGATTAGGATTGAGTTGACTTTTATTGTTGGCTATGTTTTTAACAAGCTTAATAAGTTTATTGATAGCAGATTTCAACTTGTCAATACTTTCAGCACCCTTTTTATCTTGACTATTCTGACTAACTCAATGAATTTTTAATTTAGAAAAGACATTAGCCAAGTCATCAATAGCAGAATTCATCTTGTAAATTGATTTTTTTTTCTATTACATTGGCTTTCTTCAAGTTAAATTCATCACTTTTTTCATACTTCTCAATCTTGATCACCTAATCTTTTGCCTCTTTATAGGTTTCAGGATATTGTTGATTTATTTTTTCCTTAAATATTAATATTTTATCTCACAATTGCTAACTTGATTCTTTATTTTTGTAGTACAAGCATCAAAATGGTTAGTATATAAACAACACTTTCATTTTCATTCAACTTGAGATTCATCAAATATTCAATCTTTATTTTAATATCATATTTCACTTTTGCCAACTTTAGGATAGTAGCTTTTATATTCTTCCAAGTAGTGTAACTTTCTACAATATCTTTGATCTAATCATGCAATTGTTTAGCAATATATAACCTAACTACAAGCTATATTTTTATTTTTTTTCAATCTTTCATAACAGTGTATCCTTTATATTTGGCAACAAAGTTCTTAATAGATTCACTATTACTTCTATAATAAAATAACTTTGTTAAGTCTTTTGTGACATTTTTTTTTGTTGTTTACTTAGTCATATTTTCTCAATACAATGCAGATCTTGCTTTTGCTTACTGTTATATTATATTCTTTTTTTTTTAATTATAATTAATGGTTTAAATGATTAAGATATACAAAAAATAGAACAAAAGTATATTATTCAATATGTAAGTACTTTAATATAGTTTTATATTATGCTAATGAATATTTTTTTTGTTGTTGTTGCGAGAGGTATTGTTTAATATGTCTAGGTTCTACTGTCATGGGGTTAATTAAAGCCGATATTTCTCTAAAATCTTGCTCAGATAGCTTGGTTTGTTAATTTTATACTCACAGTTTTACTATATTTGTTTTAGTATCAACACCTTGCACCTTTTACTTCAATATCTCTAACCTTCTACCTTCAAATACAACTGCATTATAAGTTAAGTTTTTTAATACCATATTTCTTCGAAAATAAGTATCTCCCAAAAATAAATACTCTATA